AATTAATATGGTTTGAATTATAGCTCTTATGGTTCAACTATGAGTTAGATTAGAACTAATATTCATCCTAGAACAAAAAAGAAGAATGTTAATTTTTTCTATTATATTCAACAATTAGATGATACTCTTTTTATATTTTCACATGAATATAATAAATATGATATGTATTTGGTGTATCGTCATTTGCTATATTTTTCTTTAACTCTGTTGCACTATTTGAGTGTTTGTGAATTTAAATACAAAAGTTTCAACCTCTTGAATCTTTCCTTATATTTAGTATGCACTTCGTTATTGTTCTATCAACATTTCATGTGAATTAGACGATGTGATGATATATACTAATTGTAATACTTGTCCAAATGTTTTAGCATGTGTTGCCATTGTTCCGAACCGTTTTGTACCGTTCTGAAATGACATGGTACCGAATGGTTCCATCCCTAGAACCGGAACGTAACAAACCGTTAGAAATCTCACGAAGACATAGGTACATTACAAGTTTCGCTAATTTACCGGACCGCGCTCACCCCTACATACCCATTACCACATATGGGTGCTACAATTTGTTATGAGTTGTTACCTTTCTCATCCGCAATGTCATAGTCAGGGCCTCAATTGGACTGGATTGGCGTAAAGAAAGAATAACTTTATAAAAAAACAACAAATTGTGTTTCATTGATATTTAAATAATGGGAAAATTCCCAAAATAGAAGTTAAAGTTTTTGAATTTTCCAAAACTGAATTATCATGTTTTTATTCTCTAAATAGGAGTAAATGAGTAATTATTATCAAGTTTAAAGTCTGGTACTTCTAGAACATGACAGTAATTACTCATGTTTAGAGAATAAAAACATATTAGTCCTATTTTGGAATAAACAAACGTTGTTAGTCCTATATAGGGCAATTTCACTTGGATAATTTTTTTTTATAGAGTGGCTCGGACCTAGTATGATCCCCTAGTTTAGCCCATGGTCATAAGATCACATTAGATGTTTAATTGTAAAATCACTAAAATAAATTGTAACTGAAAATATAGTAACTAATTTCTCCTTTTTTGTTTATTTTTTGATCATAAAAGAGCACCCGTTATATTAAAATCGAGAACACATACAAGATAAGTTCAGAAAGAATTTACAGATCCAATCGTGAACCCTAGAAGTAAACTTAGAGTCAGCCACCTCATACAAAACAACATGACCCGCTAAACCTAAAAGGACAGATTTAGGCTTAAAGCGATCAGAACCGAAACCCCGCCCGCCTATCAAAAGAACACAAAAAATTAAATCCAAACATTCAAACCAAATCTACTCGAACAAAAACAAAAACAAGTGCTACTAAAGAGAAAATAATACTGAAATGAAATCTTTCAACAAAGTTCTTCCTGTTATGGAGGTGGTTCCGGAGAGGACAAGCTCTTACAATATGGGTGAATACCAACTCCACCACCTTTGGAATGGCCGACCAAGGCTTCACCATCCCGCCTCGATACAACCTCTGATCTCAGCCGCACATCGTGCATCCGTCGATGTTATCTCCTCCGACATAGTTTCAATCCAAAAGTATAATCTGCTGCTTCAACCACATATTTATAGGGGCGACAGAATATCTCATGCAACCCCTACAAAGAGGGGAGACAGCCGGCTCTCTCTCTAGAGAGAAGAGAGAACCATCCACTTTTCCTTTTCTGTTATACACCCTGTATAAATAATGAAATGAAATACAACAAATAGGGGCGTAGCTAGGGGCAATTTTGGCCCCGGTTCAACCCAAATTTTAAAAATGTCTAAATTTTAAGGTAAAGAATTCCATGTAATTTTTTTTTTAATAAATATTCTCTATATCGGTCTAATCCGATCCAGAAAGAAACATGTTGCATTCATATATACATTTTTCTTTACTTTTTTTTGAACGAAACTAGCCTCTATTCATATCATAAGTTTCAGGATCATTACATCAATGAGATGAAAAACAAAACAGACACCAAACAGACACCAACAACCAGGGGCGGATCCAGCATAGCCATTCAGGTGGGGCCAAAATCTAATTAAATAATGTATATTACAAGAAAAGTCAAAATGTAGTAAAATAGTATGTTATTTGACAAGATTTATTTTCAAATATTTAAAATAAAATCTATTTCAACATAAATGTCAAAGACAAAATAAATATAACAGGAATAAGAATCTCTGTCGAATGCAAAAAACACATCAAACTCATACATATTGAACTAATTTTCACATACCAAATACAATGAATTGAACAAATTAATTTTTCAGACTAATATTCAAAAAGACCAATAGCATTCACAATATTAGCATGTAGCTCATCTAACATTTGAGAATTGAGATCAATTGGTGATAGCCTTGTAGTAATTGATCTTAGAAGATTAGTGTTAAATAGATACTCCGTATATTTGAAGGACAGAGATTTTAAGAAAGAAAATTGAAATTTGTAAGCTATGCTCTCTATTAAAAAATCAATAAAAAAAACTCTTGATGAGTTTCGAACTCCCGACATATAAGGCATGTGCATTAAATTTCTTCCATCTTGCCAACCTATCAACTATGCACTAACTGCCTTTTTTTAAATTTTATATCATTCTAAAGGAATTATATATAACATAATATACATATATATACTAGTAATTTTATTTTTTTTGAGGTGGGGCCTAGGCCCACCCTGGCCTAGGGCTAGATCCGCCCCTGCCAACAACTACGACTGTAAACCCTATGGTGAGACTTAATTAGAGACGGTCACCCTTGAAAGAGCAACACGAATCGCTAACCATGTATCGGGCTTGACACAAAGACAGTAACGAGAATCCAAATGAAAAAAATAATAAAATCTCATCGGAGGAGGACAAAGCATGAGAAAATCTAAACAAGCAAAATAAATGTCTTGAACCCTAGCACCTCGTTCAACCCCTGACGGTGGCTCAGGAGGAGGCCGGACCTTCGTCGCTCGATTGGTTACCTCTCTCGCTGTCTCCCCGGATTCGGATTCAGAAACCCCATCATCATCAATCAGTAGCGCACCTGCCGTAGGACCCAAACCCATGTCATTGAATTGATCAATCAACTTCTCCTCCATGTTAACCATGTCCGCTGTTGCTACCACGATCGTCCAAACCACGCACTACGACGCTAGAGATGTGTCGAAAAAGCTACGCCGCACGTACGACGGCGAAAAACACACCCTACACGAGAAGTTCTCGCTAGGGACTTAGGGCCGACACATACAACAAGAATTTATATAATAAGAATGCTCGGATGAAAATTTTAATACTTCCTCCGTTCTTAAATAAATGCAACGGTTAACATTTCACACTTGCCGAGACACATCTTTGACCATTAATATATATAATTTTGTATTAGTAAATTTTTTTTTTTAAAAAAAATAGATTTTGAAAATTTACAATGAGACAAATTTAAAAATATTTTTTCATAAAATAATACTGATACATTAATAAATAAAACGTAATCAAAATAGAACATGTGAATAATGCAAAATTCTATATATTGCATTTATTTAAGAACCGTACATTTTTCTTTACTTAACGCACGCAAAATCCTGGTCAAAAGAAAAAAACGCACACAAAATGAATTCATTACCGGCTTCGCGCTTTGGATTATAAAGATGAAAGAGGCTTAGGGTTTGTTTGCAAATGCTTGTGCTTAAATAAAAGCACTTTTTGGGAAAAAGTGATTAGTAGTAAAAGTTGGTAGTGTTTGGTAAAATAAGTGCTTTTTGTGTAATAGAAAAAGTAAAAAGTAGATTCTACACGAAAACCGAGAAAGTAAAAATTGGTAATGTTTGGAAAAATAAGTGATTTTTTCTTAGAAAAAAGCCACAATCACTTATTTTAAGTGATTGCAAACGGAGCCTTATATTGAACTTATTTGAAGAGGCGGGGCTTATTTTGTACGGAGTAGTAAGTACTGTAGATGTATCATAAAGATGGGATGCCAACAGAAAATCCACATGTATCAAAAGCAAGTGATGAGGTGACGGTTGGTGGTCCATGTTCATGGCCTGGGGGTCTGTGCATTCGATCCATTTTTTGGAATATCAAGACAGCAGAAAAGAACCGAATAAAGCTGTTAATACCACAACCGAAAAAGAAGAAGATTATAGGAATGTACTCTCGTCTGAAAAAGTTTGACTCCCAACATGCATCTACTGTTGTATTTCTTCTCATTTCGTCCCTTTCCCAACTCAATTTCACTTCCTAAAAAATACTATTGGTTCATTATTGGTTCATTATTTCCACCATATGCATAACTTTCTTTTCAATTAAAACATTTAAACATGAAAGTATGTAAAACGGAAAGCTAACAAAGGTAACACACAAGTAGTTCAGTTGATTGGGTGATGAGAAAGTTGAAATATTAATCAAGGATCAAATCACACAACGACCCAATGAAGGTTGCGGCTCCTGTGTGCTGGGCTAGACCCCTCATGCGGGCGCACATATACAAAGTTTATCATCATTGAAACGACTGAGTCACCGTAACTTATAATCATTGGACAAAGTTACAAGACTAATAATTCATAAATGTGTAGGTTACATGATTATATCTAGAATATTTTTGCTCTCTTAATAGAATGATAACTTGTAGGTGAGTGCTTAGATGAATTGTGTTAATGAAAATATACTCTGTATAATTAGAAACTTCATCAAATGTTTTATTGTTACTTTTGGAGTCATAGGGGCCAGGTCATAGGTTTGAGTCGCACCACGATTAAAAAAATTGACGTTGTCATTGAAGAAATATTATGATAGGCTATTAGAAGTATCTACCAAAAAAACTCTTGCTTGCTGTAATTGGATGTACAAGATACATTACCTACATAAAAACGTTCTTTAGGAATCAGTTTAATCTAATTACCCAATTTGGAGAGGCAATTGTTTTATTTTTCATCAATCCACGTCTTCTGTCTTTGAAAATACATTATTTTATTCCATATACTTGCTTAATTAGCTGTTTTATTGAAACTTGAAGCATTCGGCCTTAAAACCCAAAACAGATGAAGCAATAAAAAAGACCAGAGGGTGGGCTCAAAGAAGGCCACCCAGCCATTTACCCTCCCCATTAAGTATGTATTTATATTTATCAATATTATTATCCATATATATTCAATTTAGCTGTAATGTTCTGGTTCTGCACTGCAAAGAAGCAAAGCATCTCCCTCCCCTTACACATTTGCCTTGCTTTACCCAGTGGGTATCCCACCTTTTCTTTGCTTGCAATTAATAATTTCCCATTCCCCCCTTTCCCATCTCTGATAGATCAATCATCAAACCCAAGAACTCATAATTTTCCAAGTGCATATCTCTACTGTTCAAATTCATCCCCAAACTTTCTGCTTCGCTGGATTTTCGGGAATTTCATTGACCCAATTCCTCAAACACCCTGCAGTCATTTCAGTTTCTGTGTATATATAACGCTTGCAGAGTTGCAGCTCCTCCTCCATTAATGCCCAGCTTAATTGTGTGTGAATTTACAGTCCTAGACTCCTCCTAGCATGATTTGCTTCCAGTTTCTTTAAAGAAAAGAAGAAAAAGATGAGTCTTTCCACAGAAGGGTCAAGAAAGGTGACATGGCAGCCTGGAGGGATGGTGGAAGATACAACCATCTCAAGTTACTGGATGAACTGGAGGGTGGGTTTATGCTTCCTTTGGATTTTCATAGCAGTGGTTTTATCAGGTGTGATTATATTTAAGTATGAAGGCAGAAAAGGTGGTAGTGGTAGAAAGAACAGAGGAGGAAGCAGAGAGCAGGAAGAGGGGTTCTCCTCCTCTGAAGCTGGTGGGCCTGCAGTTTTGTATGAAGATGAAGTGTGGAAGACATGCCTGAAGAATGTTCATCCTGCATGGCTGCTTGGATACAGAATTGTTGCTTTTGTTGTTCTTCTCTCAATGCTCATTCTTAATGCTAAATCTGATGGTTCTTCCATTTTCTACTTTTATACTCAGTAAGTTCATATCCATTAGAGCTTGGCTTAATTCTGCCTTTTTGTTTTTCAAATTCATTTTTTATTAACTTTATAGAAGTACTGATTTGGGTTCTTAATTACCATGCAGGTGGACGTTCACATTAGTTACCATATACTTTGGGGTACGAGCTTATCCAACTCATTGTTTTATGATTATTTGACCATCACGGTCTTCAACGTCATAATTGACGTACTATTAACACTTTTTGAGTGAAATTTATTAATTTCGACCTGTTAGTTATTCACTTATTCAGAAAGTATTAATCTTGACCATTATTTAATTTAATTTGACTGTTACTTTTAAAATTACTCGTATTAATTTCGACCTGTTAGTTATTCAGATTTTACGGAGTATGAAGTATAAGCAGGGGCGGAGCCAAGGGGGGTCAGGGTGGTCAGCCGACCCCGCTGAAAGTTTGAGAGTATAAAGCTCTAAAATATCTTCGATTTGATATATTATGGCCCTCGTAACTCATTACGAGTAAAAAGTTATGCCTTCTGCAAAATCAGCACTATCTAAACGTAAAATTAGCAAAATTTGATGCATAATATAGATTATTTTTCCAAATTTTAAAAATGGGGTGTAATTCACTCAATACTTACGTGACACGACTCAAGAATATAGCAAAAACAATCTATCTTGTTGCTACGAGTGCCTATTTATTCAAATTGCATATGAAATATCTGAATTAAACATTGTTTAAAAATTATCCCACATTTTCATTCTGTACATATGTTAGTTTCGACCCCTCTGAGCCATTTTCTTGGCTCCGCCCCTGAGTATAACTGTATAAGTTTATGTTTTTAAATATCAGCGATTAAATGTCAATTTTGAAAATTCAGCAAGTTATTTGTGAATTTAATTATGTAATTAAAAAGTACATTATATTTATAGGTAACAGATCAAATAAAAACCGTTTATCCGGTGAAAACTACAGCCGTTCACTTTTTCCCACAGTATGATACACTATTAGGTTTTTATGTTGCACATTTTCGCATTGACAGAAAATTTTGACTTATTTACACAAATGACACCACATTTTTTTATTTAGCATGATTCGACCGAAGTTTAAAAGTTTATTTTAAAAGTAAACGGTTTTCAATTTTCATATTAAGAGTGATTTTTACTTGATACAAAATCTATATTTATATTATAAAATATAGTAATACAGTTTCTTTTATACTCCTGTCGTCTCACACTCTCACTCAGCTTTGCTACATGTAATTAATGTCGTCAATTAACTTAGTTGGTGAATTGGTCAACAATTGCAAAATGCAAATGACAATGCTGGATCTTAATTATGTCATTAGTAAATACTATGTACTACGTAGTAATTTAATATTAGTATCACACTTCAAAACTAAAAGAAACATCAAAATAAAGTCTCATTTTGACTTGCACTGTCTTTGATGTATGATTCACTATTATTATATTATTATAATACGTAGTACGTAGTATAAGATATACACTATTAACAGTTAAATAACTTAGATGCCGTTTCGCAACACTGTTTTTCGGCTTATCAGGCTTATCAATCAACCTTTTCACCAAACACGCAACTTTTACTTTCGCGCGCTGAATTGTGTAATAAGCAGAAAAAGTAAGGCTGAAGTTGTTTTTCTGGCTGTATTGGCTGAAGTTAATGTAAATGATCATTTTAGCTATTTTTACATATAATTTTTATTTTATTTTATTAATAAAATATATCTTAAAAATAATTTTTTCTTAAATCAGCAGAATAAGCCAATGTAGGCACTTCAGCCAGAATTTCATACATTTCAGCAGAATCAGCCACATCAGCCTATTTTCGTGCTACCAAACAGGCTCTTAATAGTCTTGATAAAATTGATCAAGACTATTTTCAATTCTGAAAACAAGGACACATGAAATATTATAATCACAAACTAATGGTCAAAAGTTAATGAAGTTTGGCTTGAAAATTAAACCAAAGATACATGAAATATAACTATTACAAACTTTTCCCATATCTTATTACTTACTATGTATATATTAGCATGCATGAACACTAATTTTACATTATGACATTGTAGCTTGGGTCAATGCTATCGATGTATGGGTGCTACCAATACCATAATAACAGAATCAGCAGTGAAACAGATCATAATCCCAGGTCTGATGATGCAGAGTTTGGATCGGCCGGTCTATTTTCCCATCCTGCAAATGCAAAACAGTCCCCAGCACATGAAGAACCAAACAGAAAAGTTGCAAACTTATTGTGCTATATTTTTCAAATAATTTTCCAGGTGATGCTTCTTTAACTTTTCTATCTTCTACGTCTTATTTTAAGAAGAAAACATATTTAGGGAGTGTTTGGAATTGATTCTGCTTCTAATTCTTTTTTAAAGCAGAAGCAGAATCAGTTTTCAGAAGCTGTCTCCCCCACCTTCTAAAAAAAACCGATTTTAGGAGTAAATTCAGGGACGGAGCTACAACCATAGCAAGGGGGGCCAAGGCCCCTCCCAACTTTTCATTTTTTATTTAGTAGTATTAGATTTATAATTTTGGCCCCCCAACCTCTTATTCTCTCAAGTACTCCCTAATCCGTAAGCAGTGCATACTAAAGTGTATACCATAAGGATGTCCATAAGGATGTATGGTGAATTATATGTACGGTTCAATACTTATTAGATCCAAATCTCCATTTAATACTGTTATAAAATAGGATTTGTTTTATTACTTAATAATTTGTTCCAGAATTAGTGATTACTTACCTAAAGAAATACATCGTAATGTTTAATATTTAATAGAATTCTTAATTATTTAAGAAGGTGCTAGTATATATTGTCTCAGTTGACATATGAAATAAAGAGTTTTAAATCTAATCTTCTCTGAAAATTTCATTTTAGGGCCTTTTAGTGTTTATTTTTTCATTTAAATATTTTTTGAAATATCATACAAACTTATTTAGAGCCTCCATATTTCTACGACATGTAAGAGCGACATTCTAAAATTTTATTCATAACGCATTTAATCATGTTTTTTGAATGTTTTAAATAAATATAAATACATTATTTAACATTTAATTTATTTTATTTATATTCAATATGTTATTACGGAGTATTTTTTATTTCACCTTGGCCCCCCTCTGAAGCGAATACTGGCTCCGCCCCTGAGTTAATTAGAGCATGAGAATCACTTCTGCACTTTCACCCATACACTACAACTTCTGCTTCTACTCCCTGGATCATATCCGAACACCCCTTAGTCATATTTTTAGAAGTTAGAACTTTGTCTATTCTTTACTTCTATTTCGAGCAGTTTCTATGTTTTTATTCTCTAAACGTCGTTGTTAGCTTCAATGTGTTCCTTTCCTTCTTGTGAACAGGTGAATGCCGGAGCAGCAACTCTTACAGATTGTGTCTATTGGTTTGTGCTTGTACCATGTTTGACCATCAAAGGCTATAATTTGAATTCTGTAAGGATCATATCACAAGTTTTATATTCGTAGTATTTGAAAGATTATTAATGTAACTTATTAACCTGTTTAGTACTAGTCCAGTAACTTTAGTCACTTCGCTGCCAAAATATAATGTCCAATTTCCGAAAAATCACGTTAGTGTTGGGATTTCCAATCTGCTTTTGCCGGAAATTGTAATAAAAAACTCAGATAAAGTTATTACATATAGGATCTTACTCCGAATAAGTAAAGTTATGAAACTAAAAAATGGATGTAAATGAAAGTTACGCGACGAATAAAATAAAAAATTGGGTCTTTTTGTCTATATTTTTTTTATTGCAGTGTATTTATTATTTTAATTAATTGCAGTTGATGATAGGCATGCATTTGGTAAATGTGATTGTCCTGCTTATAGAGGCTGCGCTGAACTGTTTGGTAAGTCATGCATGATCTGCTCATTCAACAATGTTTCTTGTATTACATTGGGCTCATTTTTTGGGCTTTGAAGTAATCGGAAGGCAGTACATTGCTCATTTCAGTTTGACAATATTATTCATAAATTTATAAAATGATTGAAAAGTAATAACTACGTATTACTTTTAGTAATATAAATAAATAAATAAAAAAGAAACAGATCATTTACTTTACCACAACCCAAAATGAAAACGAGAGACTAATTCTTAAACGTACGGGACATCTAATTATTCAACAATGCTTGTTGTACTCACTCTTATACTCACCTTATACTTATCATGTTTGTAAAGGTTTTTTTTGTCTGTGAACCCGATTCACAGACAAAAAAAAACTTTCACAAACATATGTGGGTACAAATATGGGTATAAGAGTGTGTACAAAGATCATTTTTGTTTATTATTTTGTATATTTTGAATGAAATGTCTTGGTTTGGACAAATTTATCAATCACAGAATAGGTAAAAATAAAAGAATAATCAATAAAAGAATAAAGAATAATTGACACCTGCATAAGTTAACATACTACGTATTTATCATACGATACTTAATTATGTACTACCTCTACTCCTAAGATAAGAATATGAGGGGTGTTTTTTTTAAAGCAATGTTATATGATTGTTCCTGAATTGATAAGGTGTGAATAAAGAGAGAATGAATTAGATCCACTCAATAAAATAGGATGACATCATCCCTAAGGGTCCCCCAGAATCGATTGGAAAGTTATATGAGAGTGGGGTTCCATTCCAAACGACATAGTTTTATTAATAAAAAAGCAACCACCTCTTGTTCGCTAGCTAGGTATAGCCGGTGCTGCACTGCCACCGGTGCTGCACTGCCACCGACTTAGTTATTACGCAGCACAAAGGGAACGTAGCGAGCAACAATTCTTCCTGGTGTCTTGACAATTAAATCGCAAACCCTAGGAGCGGATGAAACTTCATGGTGTCCTGATGTCTCTTAACGTTGCTGCCATGAGGAACTTAGAAGCTATTTAGGAATCTTCTTTACACACACACACATATATATATATCTTATACAATATTGAACAATTTATATTTTGATTTGGCTCAAGTTATATTTGAAAATACACACAGTTACATAAATTTTGTTCGCGAGTTACAATTTCTTACCCATGGTTTACATCATTCATGTACGCGAGTTACATTTGAACTTGTCTTAGCAAGTTACATTTTGCATGAGCGTGAGTTATATTTTTTATCAAGGCAAGTTACATGTTCTATAACACGAGTTACATCACAAATGATTTACATTTTCCAAAACGCGTGTTACTTCACAATATAATGCGAGTTACACATTTTAATGAGCTAAGTTACATGTCTATTAGCGTGAGTTACATGTCAACTTTCCTAAGCAAGTTACATAAACTTGCACATGATTTACATATTATTTAATACGAGTTACACCGCAATATAATTCGAGTTACACAACACAATAAGCCCCTTGATATTTAAAGAATTTTTTTAAATAAAAAATTATTTTTATGGGCTGACATTAAAAACAAACCATATACACTTTTTATGTAAAATAGTTGGGCAATTATACTTTTTTTTTTCATTATTTACATTGAAATCAATGTTTTACTTCTTATACTATATGTATTTGACAAGTTACATTTCGACTGGACTTGAGTTACATTGATCAATAGCGTGAGTTACATTTCTTTACACGCGAGTTACACCATAATATTATTGGGACAAAAAAGATAAAAAAAATTAAAAGCTACTGTTCACGCGTGTTACTGTTCACGCGTGTTACTGTTCACGCGTGTTACTGTTCACGCGTGAATTTTTTTAATTAAAAGTTATGCAAAACTACGCCGTTTTGAGTAGAGGAGCATGGTCCTCACCGTGGGATGATCCCACGGTATACGAACTGCAATAAAATAGGATGACATCATCCCTAAGGGTCCCCCAGAATCGATTGGAAAGTTATATGAGAGTGGGGTTCCATTCCAAGTCATTGCATTGAGTTGAGCCTGAGACCTCTCTCTTGTGACACCCCCTTCCTACCAGATGAGCTATGCCCCCTGATTGAATTAGAAGATAGAACCACTCAAATTCTACCAAATGTAGTGTTGAAAAAGTGTGACAGAAATACGAAAAAGTGCAAGTGAAACATGAAAAAGTGCATATATTCGCACTTTGCACGAGAAGAAGGCTTTTTATTTGAAATATTCCCTTGTCTTTTGTTAAATGTCCCACACCGGACATCTTTGGAATGATTAAACACTATATTAAGATCCAGGCTACTCCTCCTATCAGGTTGACCTTTTAGGATGGAACCCCGGGTGTTAACATGGTATCAGAGCCAATTCGATCCATGGTGTGGGAGCCCCTTATGAATCGTGATGACACGATTATAAAAAAACTGACAATTACGGCCCGATGAAAAAAACAGACCGATGAAAAAAATACGAATGATGACACTATCCAGACGAAGTGTCTGGTCGTGAGGAGGGGTGTTAAATGTCCCACACCGGACATCTTTGGAATGATTAAACACTATATAAAGATCCAGGCTACTCCTCCTATCAGGTTGACCTTTTAGGATGGAACCCCGGGTCTTAACATCTTTGCTTTCTAATGATCTTCTCTAAACATACACTTTGCTTTTATAAAAGTTGAATTAAATCTGAATTAATTCTTAAAATGTGCTTAATAGTTAAAACTACTGGGGTAATTCTTAAGTTGCGCATGGTGTAGTAGATATACGTTTAATGTGTATTTATAATTGTCGAAGTCTGATCTGATCTGTTTAAATCTAGTCGGCTTTGGGGCTGAAACCAATACTAAATATTCTAACTTTAGTACTTTACACCGCATCTTATCAAAAATCTTGAAAACACTTGGATTGGTCAACGAATGTATATTAGTTTTAAAGATTAATCGAGTGAGCTAATTATGAAACATGAAGAAATTTACACGAAATATTGACGCAAAAAAAAAAAAAGTTTCTCCCGCTTCCGCCCACCATAAGATTAACATACATCACTATGTATGAGTACTTTTGTTTTGCGGTTTGAATTCGAATTTGCTCACTTCTAGTTTGAAACTTAAAGTCAAAACATTGCTATGAAAAGTTAGGGAGGAAATATATCCTTTGCCTTTTTCCTGAATACTCCGTATATGAAAACACAAACCCGTGATCTAAAGTCCCTTACAACACGGTATCAAGAACACCAACATAATCCCTTACCTTTTTCCTGAATATGATTGAATATTTAAATATTGATAATGTTTTTTTTTTCCAGCGCTTCCCTTGGTATAGAATTGGATATTTAATTCTGTGGACATCTATTTATGTCATTTTCCAATGGGCTCTCCATGCTTGCAACCAAATTTGGTAAACAACTCTCATATTTTTATTTTTCGCATACTTATCATGTTTTTACTTGAATTGTTTTCACTAGTGGAAAAACAGAAATTTGCGGCACGGTATAAGCGACGGTTATATAATAACCGCCACAAAATAAAAAAAAATAAGAATTCGCTTACGCGCGGCGGTTGGTACGTAAGGACCGATGCATATATTTTGAATTGATAAATTTTTTAATTTTTTTTTAAACACGCGCGGCGGTTATTATTTAAGAACCGCTGCGTACTTAAAAATGTAATTACAATTTAAAAAAGAACGAAGCGCGCGGCGGCTAATAACATAAAAACTGCCGCAAACGAGTTGATAAAAAAAAAATCGAAATCACGCGTGGCGGTTTCTTATTTAATAACCGCCGCATATACTAATTTCATTTTTCCTTAGCCGCAGATCTATCCGTAAACCTTCATCCTTGTCCCCAAAAATTAACCTAACCTCTATTTGGCTATTCCTGCGCAGCATCAGCGAGGCGGAGGCGATACGACTAATTTCAGTCTCAGACTAGACCAGATCAGACTTAAACAGACCAAACCGAACCAGACTTAAACAGACCAGACCAAACTCGACTTTTGTAGTTATAAAATACACAGAGACCAAACGTTTACCAAACCAGACTTAAACGGATCAGACCAAACTAGACCAGACTTAAACAGACCAGACCAGCAAATTATAGTCCAAGTAAAATCATCCTTATTCATTTACTCAAATGATGTGATCTTTAAAATTCATGTGATATGTACAGGTGGCCATACCCTTTCCTTAAACTGTCTTCTCCCTTTGCTCCTTTATGGTATGCAATCTTTGACTTAATTTGCTTCTTTCTTTTAAATTAATTCCTCTGCTTGCTTAATTAATAAATAATTAATCAAGTGTAATGATAAAATGATGATGATAATTGTGATGAAAATTCAGGTATTTATCGCTGGGGTTAATGCACATACCATGCTATGGCATGTTTGTTATGGTAATGAAGTTCAAACACCATTATCTGTCCAAAAGGTTTCCTCTGTCTTATCAGTGTGCAAGATGATAGAAGGATCGAAGGGTCGAGGTTTACTCCATGGCCAACGGCGAGTTGCCAAACAGAACTTTAATTTAGTTAGATATCTTCACAAGGGAGCTGAAGTTAAGAGAAATACGTTCAACTCCTTTGTATATTTTGATTTTGAGATTCGGGGGAGTGGGAGTGGGGCATTTGACAAGAAGGAAAAACAAATGGAAAAGGGATTTAATTTGTAGTACTAATAGTTATGTATTTATAACACATTTACACCTCATAAGGAATGGGGATAGTGAGGTTTGTTAGTAGGAATATATATACACAGTCCTGAATCGTTGATTACTTTGGTGGTACACAATATTGGATTTAATGAATCACACTTCCAACATAAACATTGACGAATAATTCCTTTTGTACACCTCCAAAGCCCCAACATGTACACGTCGTGTAGACGCCTCTTTTTGTCCGTGTACATTTTTTCATTTATAAGGTGAAATGTCTATGTCACATATAAATTATTTTTCATGAGCTACATTTTTTATCTATGTCACAAACAATTTAGTATTTATTTCATAAAATAAAATAAAAAAACGTTAATGCACACAAAACTGACCGAGTAATGGGCGTGTATGAGTATGGTGTATACACTATTAACATTGATTCTCTTGTGTATGCATTTTAGTCAAGCCTTGCTTCTACTTGGAAATCTTGGAAAATAATGGACGCTCGTAGGTTTTTCAAAAAAGTTACGAAAGAACACTCAGTGAGAAATAGAACATATGAAAAAGGAAAGTTGCTAGAGAATTTAGTAGCTAGAAGTAGTGTGTCTTTCTCATTTGGATTACACTTGCCTTTTATGGGCATTTACAAATTGTAACTGCTAAGTAAAATAATGACTAATTAATTACAACATTAATACATAGTTAACTACATAATTAGTCAGTGTAGTATTGATTGTCCATGGATGTTACTCTTCTGGATTGTCGGTCGTGCTGGCTCGCATGATGGATGTTTGAGTTCCCTCTTCGCCGAACTGAAGGACAGCTCTTTGTTGGACTAGCAGGCCAACTCTTGACTGGTAGGCAGGCTCCTGTCCGGGCTGGTAGGCAGACTTCGGTTTGGGTGTTGCTCTTCCAGAATTGCAAGTCGGATGCTTGAATTCCCTCCTTGGCGGGCTGACATGCAAGCTCCTCACTGAGTCACTGAGCTGATAGGCAGGCTTCTAGTTAGGCTGACAATCAGCTTCCGGCCAGGGTGGTAGGCAGGCTCTTCCTTAGGCTGCAAGGCAGGCTCCCCATTGGGATGCAAGGCATGCTTCTAGATGGGCTAGTAGACATGCTTCTACATGGACTCGAAGACATGCTCCCCTATGAGTAGGAAGACAGGCTCTCCATTGGACTAAAAGGAAAGCTGCGCGGCAGGATGGAAGGCAGGCTCCCCACTGGATTTGCAAACTCCCGTCCACGCCGGTAGGCAAATGAATATGCTTATGTGAGTACTGGGCACATATAATTGAATATGTTATATGAATATGCATGTAAAAGGTATAAAATGTATATAAAAGTATATGTGATGTTTTGAATGGCAAAAATGACAAATATTGATTGTTTATGACTTAATATGTGTTGTGTATAAGTTTCGGAGCAATCAAACTCGATCGGTTCGGGCGGTCAACGAGGTGTTGACCAGTGGCTGACAGTGGACAGGCGCCGGCTAGTGCGTGGTCGGAACCGGCGCCAGTTTGGAAACAACCAGTCGGTTCCTAGGGAAAATTCATTGAACCTACGCCGATCGGGCAGCAAACCAGCGCCGGTTTGGTCTAGAGTTTCGGGGCTGTTTTTTATAAAAAAAATTGCAAATCGGGGCCGTTTCGAGGTAGACCCGATCCCGGTCATTCTATATATGTATATTTTGCATGAATTTGCATGGAATATTTTGTTTAGATGTTAAGACTTGGATTAGTCATTGATATGAAATGATATAGACTATAGTTGGGTAAGGTATATGGTAGATCATTGGTTCGGGTGGAATATCCAGAGGCCGGACGGTGTCCTCAAAACTCATAGATTCAGGTGGAGTACATGGGGGTCGGGTGGTGTCAACAAAACTCATAGGTTCGGATGGAGTACCCACGGACCGGGCGTTGTCCTCAAAACTCGTATATTAGGGGTGGAGTACCTAGGGACGGGCGGTGTCCTAAAACTCAGAAATTGGGTGGAGTGCCATAGGACCAGATGGTGTCCTTAAAACTTTTTATTACCGGGAGAGTGGCTTGATGGTTGAGTAAGGCTATCAACACTCAGTTATATAATGAACCCTAGGTTATAGTGGGAGAGCTAAGCACCGGGTTGGATATGTGGACAGGGGATAGTCAAGGACTAAGTCCACCATGGTTTTATCGATTTAATTAAATGACCTACGGGTCGGTATTTTCCAAGTGTATATACTTATATGTATTCAAATACCTGGGGGAAACTATATGTGTATGTATCACCATATGTTTGGATCTTATACTTGAAATGTTAGTTATTTTACATTTAGCCCGCTTCTCGCCAGTACATGTGTACTTGACCCCTTTGAGGGCCATCGCCATTTTCAGATTGAAGCTAGGGCTTGCTATCTGCACCTTTGCACGGGTGAAGTTATTTCAAAGAAGACGTGGTTCGTGCTTCCTTTATTGATTTTAAACTACAAACTATGTTCATGGATATTTTGTATTGGATACTATGTTTTGGCCGTGCCAGCCCACGTTTTGCCATATGTGGTCCATGATTGACTTATGAAAATATTCACTATTCATTCAATTTAAAGTGCGATGTTGTTATGTATGTTTACTTATTGAGTATGGAATGAACTATGTTCATGGACGTCTTGTACAATCGAGTGGGTGTGACCTGCGGGTGACGTCACTTGATTGTGCGGCGATTGCACACACGCCTAGATGTGGTCTGGGACTTGACAATCTGAATGTAGGTTCCTTTCGCGGGTCATGATCTCTTTAGACAGTTGATTAATGGGCTTAGTTTATCAGTCCCGACTCGTACAATGGGTTTCACGCATGTGATCGGTTGCAGTCCATGATACCACCCTCTATTATATTATATGTAGTTCCCTTACTTCCCTATGATACAAAATATACTTCTATTATTATTATACTCCTAACCATGGTACATACAAATTTAAATATGCTATGTATTTGTCTAGCCTCCGTCTCTTTACATATAAGCCACTCAAGCTAAGAACTTTTTTGAGCTTTATTATGAATCATGATGCGGGGAATGACGCTCAACGTGTATAACTCTTAATTGAACCAGGCCACATTCCGTGCAATATTCGGAATTCTCAACAAAATTGTACAAACAAAGAATCCTGCAACACAAAAAGCAAATCAATAACGAGCGGTGTTGAAAATCATTTGATAAAAAAACAATTTCACCAAGGATGTTTTGTAATTTGCTGGTCTGGTCTGGTCTGGTCTGTTCTGGTCTGAACTGGACTGGTCTGGTCTGGTCTGGTAAGGTCTGGTTTCTTTGTATTTTTATAACTATCCAAGTCTGGTCTGGTCTGGTCTGAACTGGTCTGGTCTGGACTGGTCTGGTCTGGTCTGGTCTGGTCTGGGGCAAATTACAGTCCAAGTAAAAACATCCTAATTCACTTTTAGTACTAATCATTTCTTATCAACTAGGTCATGTCTTTAACTTTACTGTCAATTGGTACACGACCATTTTTCTTGCTTATTCGTGGTTTTGTTGGCCAAAATTTTGGACCTTCTCATAACCGAAAATTTAGCTGGAAGCCTGGAAAGACCACAATTTTGTACTCCGTATAATATTCTTAAGGAAATGAAGCAAAGCAAGATGGGGACTTGCAGGGTTGGTATCATTTTTGGGGAGTCAAAAAGGCGAAGGAACCCTACGTCCCTACCTGCTAGCGTGTCCATAAAGCGCCATGTTCTTCTAGTGGAACCCGAGTGAAATGCAGCTGCAGCATACGGAGTATGTATACAATTACTTTAGTTTTCTCAAAAAAATTGAATCACAATTGGACATTTGAATAAAGGAGAAACTGAAGAATATGGTTACACTAAAAAATTATACTCCGTATATAGACAAATTCTAAGATAACCAAATGTAGAGTGGTCTTCTTGTCAGGCCGGCCTGACGGGATGATCCGTCCGGACGAGCCCATTTGGGCACCTTCCCGGTGGAATTTTTTGATGAAATTTTTTGAGTATGTTCTTCATCAAGTCTAGTTTGTCTATACCAAATTTCAGCTCAAAATTCAATCGGGAAGGCATTCAAATCATTTTTTGAAGTTGACTGCGTCAAAATATACATATAAAACTGCAGTCAACTTCAAAAAATGATTTGAATGCCTTCCCGATCGAATTTTGAGCTGAAATTTGGTATGGACAAACTAGACTTGATGAAGAACATGCTCAAAAAATGTCATCAAAAAATTCTACCGGGAAGGTTCCCAAACGGGCTCGTCCGGACGGAGCATCCCGTCAGGCCGGCCTGACATGAAGATTTGTCACCAAATGTATCCTACTTTGCATACGTGGTCAATTAAAATATTGAAATTGAACAATTTAAATATTGCGGAGTAATAAATAATGAGATAGTAACATGAAGTCTTGAACCAATCAAATGTGTTATAAGTACATCCGTACAACACCTCATTTATATGCAAGTATGTCCCTAGCAGCTATGACTAACTATGACTAATGTCAACAAATTCAATTCTAATGACTTATTTGGGGATATTTTGAATGTTTTTAGTTGGAAAGAGACATTCTAATATGAGAATTTGATCTATTTAAGTGAGGTCTGATATGTTTTGAGATTCAAATCAATCCATTTAAAGTCTTAAAACATTGGGAAGAAGTTATTGCCGATCGAGCTAGTCAACGGAAGTCGAATAGTGCTGACCGCTGATCATGATTTGGCAACTTCGTGTAGCCGTGTAGGGAAAACTCACATACATTTAGAAGTTTGAGATTATATAAATCTTTGGCAAAAAATTAAAAATGTTCATTATGTTGTGATAAGTGATAATTCATAAAAGACCATAAAAATAAAATTACTCTGATTTTCTCATCACAACGATATTGGGTTAGAGTAAAATTACCTGCAGGTGAATCACAATGGGAGGTAGAATTCCAAGAACCACACATACACGCATTGGTATATTTACCGTCGGCCGCCGCCGTATATCCACAGGTCCCACCGGTTGCCTGGCAGGATTTACAAAAAACTTTGTCTCCATGAACAGAGAACCTCACTCTGATCCCATAAGACCACTCCTCTGCACCCTGCAATCTCAGGGGCGCAAGGCTATAGGCACTGCTATAGCCTTGGCAATCCAGTTCGGTCAAATTTATGGCCTTCATTGTTCCGAATGCGACCGCGCAACACTCCGGCGGGCCGGCGTAGGTGGGCCACATCCTCTTCTTAGCCGCTGGCAGCCCGATAACATTGTTCCACGCCGGGCAGTCGTAGTAGTCCTCGCAGCCCATGCCGGATACGTTCCGGCATGGGAAGTTTTTGCCCTTGCGGAATCCCTGGAAGAGCGGGGACTCCGCAGAGCATCCTAGGAGCATGAAAACGTTGTCCGTGGTGGGTTGGAGGTAGGTGGCCCGCCACGGCTCGACCACGAAGCCGTTGCCGCGGTTGCCGAGCACGATGGCGGAGCACGTCGACATGTGAGGATCGTCGAGTGTGAGGGTTTGGTAGGCGTAGTCTATGTTCAAAACGCGGTATGACCCGGATTGTACGTGGAACATGAGGACGTCATTGATGCAGAACAAGAGGTCCCGATATCCCGGATGGCCACATCCGGGACGGACCCCGAAAGGGTAGTCAATGCTTAAGTTCCCACAATATGATCTACACGAGAACGCCGCCGTATGACCGCCGTCGGAAATTGTTGCAGCCGTATCCATGGCTAGTAGGAGTGCTGATTGGAAAACAATTACGTAAATCAAGGAGAAATAGAAAAGAAAACCCATTGTAACGTACTACAATTTGACCGATTCGAGATGTTTTAGCTGGAAATGGATTGGAAGAATTGGAATTGAATTGAAAAATTATAGCAGAGTCGCTTACTCCGACCATATACCGATCTTTATAAAGTAAAAAAGCAACATTAATGCGCTGCTTATAGTATTGAACAAAAACAAAATAATGCGCTGCTGATACCTTGCTTGACCGGGGTGCTTATAGAATGGCCAGCTGGGGATTAAAGCATAGGAAGTACTTCCTATTATGGGAGAACTCTGGTACCCATTTAAAAAAATGAGATACGGTATCTACTCTTCACTTGATTGGTCTAAATAGGATATCATTTTTAATATAGACTTAAATAATTCAACTGCAACATTCTGATTGGTCTATGTGGACAAATGTATGGTACCTTATGAGTACCATAGAATGTACTTTATACTAGTAACACATCCATAATTGCTTTATTGTAACCTCCATTTGAGTTGATGTGAAAATGAAATTAATCTGGGTGTGGTATTATAAAAAGTAGGAGTTTTAGTCACTTTTGGTCCTCCGACTTTTATGTCATTGACACTTTTGGTATTCGACTTTGATCTTTTCCACTTGTAGTGCTTGACTATTGTGCTAAAGACACTTTTGGTACCCGTCTTTGAAAATTTCCACATTTAGTCCTCCGACTTTCATAAAAGCGACACTTTTAGTTCTTCAACTATTAATATAATGACATTTTTAGTCCTCCACTTAATGTGTCAAAATCATAGTGAATGAACTAAAATTGTCAATTTAATAATACTCAGGGGACTAAATGTGGGAAACTTTGAACTCGATGACTAAAAGTGTCCATAACACAATAGTCGATGACTAAAATTGGAAAAAATAAAAATCGGATACCAAAAGTGTCAATAACAGAATAGTCGGAGGGGACTAGAAATGGAAAACAACTCTAAGAAGTGTCACGGGAGTCATGGGAAATCTCAAATCCGTAGTGCTACGTACTAATTACTACTACCTCCGTCCCGCTAGAAGGTTCCCATAGCAAATCGGCACGATTATTTAGGTGATAATTAAATAAAGTATTTTGGGTATATTTTGAGAAATAATTTTAACAGGTATATATTATAATGTGTTAGTATTGATAACTGTGATGTTATAAATGTATTATTTGTAATATTTAATGACTAATTTGTCACTTAAGATTGTTAATTGTTTCCTAAAATGGAAATGAGAACCTTCTAACGAGACGTCCAAAAAAGAAAAGCAAGAACCTTCTAAATTGGAATAACTTTAAGCAAAACGACATATATGGTATAAAGATCGCATTAATGTTCAATACTTTATAAGCAGCGCATTAATGGTATTGAACCTTCTAAAAGAAAAGCAAGAACCTTCTAACGGGTACGGAGAGAGTATATAACTTTAAGCGTTCACATTATTTATTAATCTAGTTCAAGAAAAATTGGAATTTGTTTCTTTGAAATGAAATCGGCTTATATATTACGTAGTACTACCTCCGTCCCGTTGGAAAGATCTCATAGCAAAACGACACGATTATTTAGACAATAATTAAATAAAGTACTTCGAATGTATTTTGAGAAATAATTTTAATAGATTATAATATAGTTAGTATTGATAATTATGATGTTATAAATATTTTTTTTTAATATTTAATGATTAATTTGACACTTAAGAGTTAAAACTATTAATTGTTTCCTAAAATGGAAATGAAAACCTTTATATGAGACATCCAAAAAAGGAAAGTGGAAACCTTCAATTCTAATGGGACGGAGGGAGTAATATATAAGAAACTCCACAATCAACATTACACCTAGAACAATAAGCAAATACTATAATAGGTTTAAAAGAATATTCCAAAAAAAAACCTAGAGCAAAAGGACAAGCTAGCAAGACTAGAACACATAAGGAACAATCATCCCAAAAGGAACAATATGATTCGCTAATTCTCACTCAGGGGCGGCCCTAGTGGGGGTGCAAGGGGGCGGTCTCCCTAGGCCCAAAAACAATTGAGTAATAAATAAGCCAAATTTAGTTCTTTGTGATATGTGTGAGTAGGCTGATTTTTCAGCCCTACACTAACAAATTTTTGGGTGGAATTTGTTGAAGTTCTTTGTAATGCATTATATTTTTTGGGTGAAAATTTATGATCATGTTCTCTATGAAGTGTAGATTATGTAAAAAAGAAAAAGTTCAAAGTTCAATTTAGAAGTGAGTTAAATAAATTATTCAAAAGCATTGGTTTGTACGTATACATATTTTGGTGCATTGTTTTTCAGTAATTTATTTAACTCACTCACAATTGAATTTCAAACTGAAATTTTATAAGCATAATTTACACTTGATGAGAAACATTCTCTTAAAATTTCATAAGAAATTCCACTCAGAAGCAGATTAGTCTGATATGATTATTTGATTAGTTTATTTACTGATTTCATTCATAGTTGATTGCTTGATTTCTTAATTGTTGATTGTTTTCAATTGAGTGTTGGTGTTATAACTTGTTGATTTTGTTAGACAAACATTTTCAATCATGATAAAATTATTAATTTAATTAATTTCAATCGCAATAAAAAAGATTGAATCTGAATACGATAAATAAAAACGAGGAGAAAATTAGAGAAAACGGCATCAAGCAAAAAAAACTCAATGGAAAAGTTTACATGTGTAAAGAATTTAAATTCTGAATGTCCCCTTCTGGATGAGAACTCGTAATAGAATAATAATTTAGCTACTAAAAATAAAATGATTCAGAATGATTACATCATAGGAGCAGAGAATTTAGGAGGTGACAATAATAGAGTTAATTTCTTAAATATGACTTAAACATTTGTATAGTGTACATATAGGATCATCATTGTTTCCTTTCTAAATAAGGATCACCAATATTATAATATGATTAGTTTAGACAGAATAGGGGTTTACATATTTTTATAAATGTTTTGAAATATTATTATTATTATTATTATGCATGTCAATTAGATAGAACAGGGTTCTACAATTTTTTGAAATGTTAGCCTCATTTTAATTTTTCGTCCCTAGGCCTTCGAACATACCGGGCCGCCCTTGTTCTCACTTGAACAATTGTAACTTGTAATCCAATCATGATCAACTTAGAATCTTTGTCACATATCCTATCCCGAGCTTGACCCTCAACAAAAGAAAAAATTAAAACAGTACAGAGTCAGCCCGGGCAAAAACCACCAACAAAAACACCGGCTAGAATTCTTAAACAAAAGTAAATAACAATAATTGCGAAATTTAAATAACTACTAAATAAATTGCTAGGCGAGCCTAAGAACTCAGGTCCACCCCTTCCACATTTTTGGCTTGTACACCACCATAGCAATAGTAACTTGCTCTTTTTTTTTCCTGAAAATAAGACTTGTTGTGATGCATTTATACTCAGGCCCGCTCCAAAAAATTGACAACAAATAATCCACACTTTTACATATTTTACAAAAATAATTCCTACTCGAAATGTTCACAATGCAACAATAATCCCAACTAGCTAACTATTTTAAATATAGTGAAGCGAAAATATATATAAACATCGACAATATATATTTGAGTTTCATCTTATTTGTACTAAAATTTTAATTTAATATTCAAGTTTTTTAATAAAACATAATTTAAATATTTGAACACTACATAGTAGAAAATCTTAAAATTCTCTATTTGCTTTTATTCCTTATCCATATTTTATTTATATTTATTTTTGTTATTCATTATAATAGAGATTTCAAAGCAGTTTTAGCACTACACTACATATTAATACAAATTATGTAGTATATTGAATATTTATTATATGAGATATTACCCGAAATAGGACTAAACAAGTTTGCAAATTCCAAAATAGGACTTCCATGTTTTTATTCTCAAAATAGGACTTATTACTGCCATGTTTTAGCAGTACCAAACTTCAAACATGACAATATTTTCCAAACTTGGTAGTAATTAGTCCTGTTTTGGGAATAAAAACATGACACTCCTATTTTGGAATTTTCAAACTTTTTTAGTCCTATTTCGGGAACTTTCCCTTATACACACACACACACACACACACACACACACATATATATACATTACTACGTATATTTTATGAAAATTTCTAAATATTAATTTAAATTTATAGTAGAAAAATATTAAAATCAAATATACTGTTACATATTACGGAGTATTAAATTTTATACATACTTTTACTTTTATATTTTCAAAATTGAAAAATAATTATTGGTGAAAATTGAAAAAAAAAAAAGTAACAGAAAAATTAACATTGTTAGCACTCGAATTGTTTCTGTGGAACAGTTAATTAGTAGGGATTATTTTTGTGAAATTTATCAGTATGAATTATTTTTGTAAAATGTGTAAAAATAGGGATTATTGATGTCAATTTCACCAATAATATATTATGTACTTGCTGCTTTTTTTGTAGTTAGCCCACAATATTTCTTTTTTAGAAGTTTGTATTAGTTACGTTGTAAAAGGGAGGGTGTTCCATGGTGCAAAGATATGTTCTCCAACAAAAACATGGGGTTAATATTAAATTTCACCAACTACAAAAGGTTGCGCGCCAAAGATACGAGTAAATAATACTTCGTCTGAAATATTAAAACAAGAGTATGGTAATATATTTTTTCTAAATATGAGTAAGTTACCAACGTCCGTCATAAAATTATATTATCATATCTTGACATTATCAGACAATACACAATTGACAATAGTTTTCAAGAGAGAGACTAGTTACACATATTTAAAAAAAACATGTTGAATTTTATACGGAGTACTATTTACATACTCTACTTTAACTAAATACATAACTAATGCATTGCAAATTTAGTTTTTGAAAAATATTATTAAATTCTTCTGGGGTTACATTTTCAAATTTTTTTAATCTTTTAATAGGAAATTAAATATATTAATAGCCAAAGCTATGTGTTGATCAATGTGAACATGGAAATTTTGCAACTAAAAATGATCTTTAAGGTGAAAATACTAATTCATTTATTTTAAATACCTTTAGCGGTCGATTCAGTGTTTGTTCTTCATTTCATCCATTCCAAACCTAGTCAAATTGTTTTATGTCGGGTCTAACCTTAGATAAAATTCAACATTGACACATTTTATGGGAATTTGAAACAAAAAGTCAAGTACTCAGTTTACGTACAGATCTCTAGGAAAAATTACTCGATACCTGAAAAACACCACACATTCCGTTGAAAGTTAGGACCCATACTACGAATCAAGACAAAAAAGGGGTCAGACAAGAACATCGAGGAAACAAGCACCAATAGAGACAATGCAACAAACTCGCAATGGAGAAGGTAGGAGATCCATCACAGAGCTAAGCACTCATGTCGCGCAGAGAGTGCATTACGATCGAAAGAAAAGTGCCACATGCACTAGGGTGATATGCATTGAGAGGTTGCTCACAAATCTTCTCACTTTCTTGTGGGAATGACAACGAAAGCTCAAGCGGCTCTAGACGATCCCCTTCATGCCATCCTTAGAGGAGGAGCGTTTGGTACATGACTCTACAAGCCGAGGGAAGACTTCGGGACGGGTCCGCCAATAAGTACTCAATTACACCAACGTTTCATCGCCAAAACATAGGGGTTTGGGGTAGATAGTGTCAGACCTCAAAGACTAAGGGTGTTGGATGCTCCTTAGCTTGGTCATCGACAACCTCTCTATTCCGGGGCAAGAAGCCCGCATGTAGACCTGCACAAACACGGGCTCGGGCCGGGCTTATTCTAAAAAATCTGCCCACTTGTAGTGGGCGGGCCCGGCCCGGCCCGGTAAAACGGGCCTCCTCATATGTCCAAGCCCGCCCATGAGAGCGGGCCGGGCTGCCCACCGGGCTTTTGGGCCCGGAAAATATCCTTTTGTCAACTCTGGTTAAAAAAATGAAAACATTTATAAAATAACATCACAACATTTTAAATGCAATTAAATAATTAATGTACTCACAACACATTTTGAACACAAGAATACGTTTAAATGCAATGCACAAAACGATTCTGGAAAACAAAAAGCATCCAAATTCCAAATAAGCATCCATATTCCATAATTAAAAGCACAATCACAGATTCACAATGTGCAGCGGAAATAGTCATATACTGTATAATTATATATAGAATAATATATATAATATAATATATATAATATGTTTACGGGCCGGGCTTTTAGGCCCGACCGGGCCTATATTACAACCCAAGCCCGCCCATATTTTAAACGGGCCGGGCCGGGCCCGGCCCGGCCCGGTGGGCTAAAGCATGTGTCCAAACCCGCCCATTTATATGGGCGGGCCGAGCGGGCCGGGTGGGCCGGCCCGGTTTTGTGCAGGTCTACCCGCATGGAAAAGACTCATCATTCAGGTACGCCAAGTAAGTATAATATACTAGTACTCCACCCGTGCGATGCACGGGAGAATAAAATTTGCAAATTAAGTAGAAGTTTTATATTATTATTATTATTATTATTATTTTTCATATAAAAATGCATATTTTGTCATATATTGTGTTGGTGGAAATTTCCTAGCTAACAAAACACAGCTAACAAAACACACACTGTGAATGATACTTACAATTTCGAAACTCCTTATATACAACCGTCACAATTGCATTATTGATGATCACTGTTTTTTAAACTTGAGTTTGTTTATAAATTTTATTGTGACATATAACTATTTATTTTTTATTTTAGGAAATAATAAACACTTCTAATGATAATTTGTCATTAAATTAAATATTAAACATAACACATCTAACATCACAATTATCATCAATAACATCACAATATTATACACTAATCATAAACTAATGAAAAGTGTTTCTTAAATATGCGTGAATTACCTGTGTAATTATAATCTAATGTTAAAACTAATGTTTTGAACTTCTTGAAAATTTGTGTTTATATAAAAAGTATAGACACATAGTATAAGGTTTGTTCAATTAAATTTGGACTGGTTTTATTTGTGATTATTTGTTAGCAGATAAAATCAATGTGACTTCAAAATCTTTGTGTAATTTTTAAATTAGATTGTTTTCAATGTTATATGAGATCAAATCAAAATCCTTCAAAATAGATGTCATTTAAATAGAATAGATAAGAACAGATCATATCATACCAGATCAAACATAGATAATACGTAGTAATAAAATACGAAGTACACATTATTAACACACTTATATGATATCGAATTTTAAAACATTTAGAAATTCCAATAATTCCCCAATTAATAATCTATCTGATCGGCTAGATCAGTAACTGGAATTTCTGGAATTATAATTGGCTAGATCACTTTTAACACCTTAAGACACTTTTATAATCTAAGTGGGCAATGATAATCTAAGTGGCTAGATATGTACACATCCCAAAAAAGCAACATCATTAACACACTTTTATGATTTCATTTTATACTCCGCATTAGATTTAGAAATTCCAATAATTCCAACAAATTAATTGTTGGAATTCCAATAATTCCAATAATGTAACATCTTAGAATCTGGGACTACAGAACGATTACAAAGGCATGCCAAGTACCACCAATCATCATTTTGCAATGATGGTAATACTGTAGCCAACACCATATACAACCTTCCCTGTAAGTGTTTATATAAGTTAACGGCTTTGAAGTTATTAAACGTTTAAATAAATTTCACAAATGTTAACATCATAGAACCTCTTGACAGTCTTTCAGAGCTAGAATAGTTTTCATCGGGGTAATAGCTAGAAACTTTTCTTCCGAATTTCATGATTTCTGATCAGAAAGCTGAGTGACCACTTGAGATGGAGATATGATAATTTCGCACCTAATAAAAGAAAGCATGAAAATTAACCATACATATACGTGATATTTTAATATATATAGAAAAAATTCGTTCAAAATAACGTGCAACAATGTACATGATATTTTAAAATACCTGGTCATATAATCACGTGACTCTTTGCAAGTTGGATCAAATATTACTTTAGTACAATACATTGCATTCTGTAGTTTAATTTTCCCTGTGCAAGTCATAACAAAAAAGAGATGAAAACAAATAGTAGCTCGACTGGGACATTTATTAAATCAATGAAAAGTATTATTATTATTATTAAATGAAAAGGTCTAATGATATAACAAATAGAAAATAAAAACTAAAATCTTGGGTAGTCATATTATTATTAAATGAAATACATGGAGAATTAGCAGCTAGACACCACTGTTTTACACTTTTACAGGTGGAGTAATTAATAATGTGTTTCATTTTGGATCTCTTAACCGTTAAGATCCAACCCTAAACTACTAATATTAATTAAACAGAAATAGCTTTGTAGTCATCCCCAACATAGATTTGTTGAAAGAAATGTGTCTATTTTTTGAATTGTATAAATATATGCTGCCAAAGTAAACCATAAATATATTATTACGGAAATCCAGGGAAAGTTCATAGTTATGTGTAATAATATTTTTTTAAATGAAATCCAGGGAAAGTTCATAGTTATATATGTGTGTCTATGTTTGTTTTTAGGGACAGAGCAATTAATAGTAATTTCATTTTGATGTTATGTATGTGTGTCTATTTTTGTGAATTGTATAAAATAATCAAAACACAATTTTGTTAGCGGAAGAGGCTTAGTGTCAATAATATTACCGTCATAATGTCGTGCCTTGGCGAGTTGTACAATGACGGGAACATTGGTTGGCTTCCCAGAAGCAAGGTATGTATTCAGTTGATCGACATAAGGCTCAAACAACGTGCAATCTATTTTGCAACTGCACAAATATAAAAAATAAATGACAACATACTTCTGCCCACATTAAATTGTTATAAATAATTACAATTAGGATAGATTTTTTAATATGTCGATTAATATAATGTGAATAATTTTATAGATGGTATATGAATATGAAAGTAGAAGAAACATTACCCGTCAGCTTGCAATATAATGTAATTTCTTCTACTCTTGGTGCCATCCTTTTCAGTCTCCTTTTCAACTCCGTAATGTTTTAGGACTCCGATCACATCTTAAAAAGATTAAAATAAAATTCAATATATTTAATGTCTTAGTAAGTTTATATTTAAAAAAATCCCAATAACATACCAACCAAAACTTCCATCTCAATTTCTCCCCCACAAACTGAAGTCAAAGGCACGAAAGAGTACATTTTTGGAGCAATTTGTCCTTCCGCTTTAACAACCTTTGTCTCCATTTGAAAGTTTATTTTATATTTATGGGGCGCAACTCTGAAATCTCCCGTATTGGAGGTTAGTGTGAATGAACGAACTGAGTATACTGAACCTTCCTCCAGAGATTTTTGAAAACGATAAATCAAAGCTTTTCGAACGGAAGCTTGAATTTTACACCCCTATACATGGATGGAAAATGTTAGATTTGTGGTATATGAATATAAAGGAATTTGGCATGAATATTATAATATTAACGATTGTTGTAATTTATAATAACGATCATTGTAATACTTACAGTTTCATCCATGAAAAGCAACTCCATGGAACGATGGTTGTTTGGTCTACGGGAATGTGTCTCGGGAACAAACCAAAGCTTTACCAGAGACACTCGTAAATTCCAGTCATCTCTCACAGCAGAAATTTGAGCAATAGAATCGAAATTGGTAGAAGAAGCCATTGTGGACTTCAATTGTCAAAAGACTCTATGTATTCAAATGTGAAAGAGCTGATTTTAAAGACACTACGTATTGCATAGTCAACAGATTAATTTGGTAAGAAAATCTGGGGGTAAACATCTATACAAAAAAATAATAATTTTAAAACATTGAGGCAATCAATCGTTTAATGGAATGAAAAAATTGAGACAATCATTGCCTTATATACGAAACATGTACTTTCCAAAACGTATTAAAGTGGTATAAATATGGTAATATACTTTCCAATCTTATAGTGCATAAAAAACGGACCTAGGTATAGTAGTGAGCTTCAAAAAATGACACATGGCAATGGTAAATGTGAGAATGACATGTGGCAATGTGACCTATCAATGTATAATATATAGATATAGATATGATCTAAATAGTAAACTTGATGAATTGCAAAAAAAAAGGTCGAGGGAAAGAAGACTGTGGAAGTACCTGGGATCGTAACGTTATTGTGTACTTTACAACTATTGAAGTTTGTTTTAGTTTGATAAGATATGGGATTGAAACCAGTCGAAGTACACACAACCTTACTCCATTACGGAGTATATAAAGTGACAGGGCACGGTGTGCCAAATAATACTCGGCTTTAATGTACCAAACCCCTTTCTGATCTATAAATTTGGCGCATTAATCTCCTATGGTTTTAAAAATGTGTCAACCCCCGTGCTATAAGTATCCATGCACAAAACCCTCGAGAACAAATTTAACAACTTAAAAATCATGTTTTGATTGAATATGCAAGCAAATTTTTCAAGACCTCTAAATTATGCAAAATATATATTAATCATTTTCAATTTATTTGACAATTAAATTTGTCTACGAACAAGGTTTCGCTCATGAATAATTGTAGCACAAGGGAGTTTGATACAACTTTAAATCACTGGACCTAATTTGTCAAATTTATACTAGGTGTAAACTGATATCTGAATTGAAATAAACTAGAACTGAAATAAACTAGAACGATAGTGTTAACTGATATCTAATATTACCTCCGTCTCAAATTGTTTTGCAAAGTTAACATTTTTTGTCAACCAATGTTAAAGTTAAATCTTTCCTATTGATAAATATTTTAACTTTGATAATCAAAATTTACATATTCAGAATTTAAATTAAAATCTCTATAAAGTTGCAAAATTCAAAAATTGAAATTTAACCAAGAATTGATGTCTTAATTAAATGAATAAATAAGTTTTGCAACTCAATTTGGGACGGAGGAAGTAGAGTACTATTGGTACGTTGAAAAATTTAGTTGTATAGTTGAAAAAGGAAAAATATGATAGGTTAGTGCAATGAAAATAATAAAAAGATCTTCGCAGCCATGTAATGTAGAGTATTTTAAAAGCAGTTTTGCTACTTGTACTCAACCCTTATACCCACTATTTAAAATAGTGGAGATTTGACTTTGCACCCATTTTTTCAGTGGTATTGGACTTTGTACCCCATTTTGAAAAAACTTTGATTTTATAGGTAATTTTCACTGAATTTAAGAGTTATATTAAATTTAATTTAACAAATATTAATATCAGAGGATATAGTGAGAATGATCAAAATTAAAGGGTAACTAATTGTTTTTAAAAAATGCAAGATTGCATTAATAATTATGACATAACCCGAGGAGTCAATCGTAATTTTCTGACCTATGGCTGCTACAATTTTTTTTTTGTACACTTTTTTAGACGTGCTCCCAGAAGGGGATGAAAAAGGGGATAATATCATCATCGAAACTCCCAGGATCAGCAGTGACCATTTTTTTATCCCGCACATCCTTTAGTTGAAAACAAAACACATACGAAGTACTCCTTAATATACTCCTTAGATATATTGGCTGCATATCACTGTATCAGTATCTCGACTATTTGTTAAACAATCTTGATCCCCTCTCGACTTAGCCGGAATCGGGACAAATTTCCGATTACCCGGAATCGATATTATACTGAGAGGGACAGAGGAATACCTTTTTGAAGGGTGGTAGAAGATTTCCTTCTGACTCGGAAAAGGTGGTTCGGAGCTGCGATAAAAAAAAGTAAACACTGTTTCCTAGTGAATGAGAGGTTGTGCGTATGATGTCAATACCGAAGGAGCTGGAGCAAGTGATAAGGCATAGAGATGGATCGGTGCTGGGGAAAAGGACGATCCTCAAAAGCGACCATTTTCCTTCCTGCCAGAACAAACGTCTTTCTCCCCATATCGACGGTGCACCCAATTACAGAAAGGTTCTATGTTCTTTGCAACCTGCTTCTTCTTTTCCATTGATCAGTATCCAGTAACCCGATTGTCAGGAATTCTTACATATTCTTACTTTCTTAGCATAATACAAGCAAGTATATGTCATGGTTTTAAATTGTTGTTGCTGCCAAGCTGTGAAAATAAAGAAAGCTAAGAGTTTATGTGACCTCTTGATCTTAAGTTGTGGCATTCAGTTCTGCTGCGGTTTCCAAAACGGGTGCATTGCGGTTGAGCTTCTGACACACGACTATTTCTGTGCATTGCGGTTGAGCTTCTGACAGCAACCACAATAGTACAGCCGCAACACGGGTTGCACTAAGCAATTTAAAACTTTCGTATGTAGAAATGTTGTGAATCAGGGATGCTCCCATTTAATTCATGAAATTGATTTTGCTCTTCCCGGAAGCATTGATAGGAAGCATTTATAATTGGGATGCCAATAGGCTAGTTTCGCTCCCATCCCACTTCCATAAAAAAATCACCACTCCCGCCGCCTATCACCCGTCTTTGTCCCACCCCACCCAAATACCCGTGGGTATCCAGAATTATTTTTTGTCTTAATCCCAAAAGAACCTCTAATAGATGTTAATTTATATATACCAACACATACATAGTATTAATTTAAGCACCCACAATCATACACACATAGATAGATAAAGATACACACATAGGGAGGGGTTCTTATGAGAACTTTTAATCTCCATCTTTCATTTTTTAAATCAATGTCGAACACTCAGAAGATGTTATTTTAATGATCTTATACTCAAAAGGGGTGTTTTTGTAATTATATTAAAATGTTTATAAAATGCCAACTTGTCAACATTAGCCATTAATTAGATACTTTGATGGTGGAAAGTTAGAAATTTAAAATCTTATTTATGAATATGTTCTTGTGGTAAGATGCATTCTCATAAGAATCCTCTCCTATATACATACACACATATACACTACTACCTCCGTAACATTCATATCTTCCCACTCTAAAAGTAGGTGAGATTATGAATAGTGAAAGGGGTTATAAATTATTGAGGGTGTGATGAGAAGATCATGAAGTAGTGTGCTGGAATGAGGGATACATCCAAAAAAAGTAGTTGTAATAGTGTATTATTTTCAAAATTATTGAGAGTATGATGGGAAAATTTAGAAAGGGGAAGATTATTTAGTTACAGTTGAAAAAGGAAAGTGAGAAGATATGAATGTTACGGAGGGAGTATATATACATAAAAACATATACTACATCCATTCTTAAATAAATGCAACATGTGGAATTTTACAATATTCACATGTTCTAATTTGACTACTTTTTATTTATTAATGTATTAACAATTCATTTTAAAAAATATATTGTTAAGTTTGTTTCATTCCAAATTTTCAAAATCTGAATTTTTTTATTTTTTTTACTAAAAGAGAATTAAATATACTAATGGTCAAAGTTGTGCATTGACAAACATGAAAAGTTGACTGTTACATTTATTTAAGAACGGAGGTAGTACATATTTGTGCGCACACACATAGAAACAACTACGAACAACAGTTCATCCAAATACTCATAAGTGCTTCTCCATTATTAAGGCAACAATTCCAAATACTAAAAAAGGAATCACTTTCTCATTCAGCTAAAAGTTTTGATTCTAACCTAAAGATGCAGCATTTGAATTGATGCAAAACACCCACTTATAGTAAAATTCACATTACGCAATACGCATAACAGTCTTGCTATTTTGCCTTCCTTTTGGGTAGTACATGTATTTACAATTGATGACATTTACCTGAAATGAATTACATTTAAGCACACAGTTTCACCTTTGTCAATGATAGAAATAATTAAAGTATTTTATGTGAGACGAGTGACATAGCCTGGTGAGATAGTTAGGGTGGGCTTGAAAAATCCATTGATATAACATGTTTTACTTTTTGGCATCTGCCCCCATACCTACACCTATGCATTCTTCATATTCATGATTTTGCATTTGATAGTGGGGAGGAAGTTATTTTTTTCCAAATTTTGGGGTAGTCAAATTCAAATTTAATTTAAATGATGCATTAAAGGTGTTTGCATATTTAATTGGTTCATTGATCAGTAAATCTGAAAAGTAAAGTAGACGTTGGATGTTTCTATAGTCTTCTTATCATGTTCAAACTCTATGGATTGGTATAATGAACTGTCGTTACTCAGGGGCTGCATAGTCAATATTTTCTTAATTGAAGTTCCATATTGGCATCTATTAGATGGAAGGGAAATTGCCAATTTCCTTTTAAGGGTCATGACTACTGTGGAACTGTATCTTTTATTTTATTATGTCACAGTAAACGGATAGCTGCCCTCATTGCAAACAGAGAATACATATATATTAAATATCTAATTCGTAGGCTTGTTTGCTAGCCCCTAATCTGTGCATAATGCTTGGTATGACATTGCTTGTTCCCTAATGGGTGATTTAGAGCAGTAAAGGGAATCCCGGTTGGAAAATAAGGCAACTCTTACAGGCGAATGGACTAAATTTGTTTTTTCAATTGATGAATAGATATCTATATATGCTGTTATCTTAGAACTGTTGTTAGTTTATGCATTTTCTTCACATTATAGTTCATATCAGGTCGTTTTTTATAATATTTTTAAAAGATATCAAGATTCTAAGAGACGTTAGGGCAACCTTGTTGCCTTGTCCACCGTCATACGGCAGCATTTGTAGTTTTGTCTGTTTGGTTCATGTGGCTTCATATTTTCCATCTTGCATATGGCATTTAGAATGATTTAGGATTCCTTGTGTTTGTTATACTTCTAATAATTCCCTGACTTATTATAGGCTGATTCATTACATGTTCACGGTGTTGCTATCCCAACCATCAGTGGTATCCGGAATGTTCTTGACCACATTGGAACTCAGATAGATGGGAAGAAAACTCGTTTTCTCTGGATTAATCTTCGTGAAGAACCGGTAACTTGCTCTTATTCGAGTTCCTAGCCAATGCTAGGTTCCAAGGAAGTTATTTGTTACACTTTACATTAGGAACATATTTGAATATCATCCTTGTTGTTTTGTTTGTCCATTCTGAACGTGGTATTATATGTATGTGGAAGAGCCCAGTTAATGAATGTTGCATATTTAATGAAACAGGTTGTGTACATTAATGGACGCCCTTTTGTTCTGCGTGAAGTGGAGAGGCCTTTTTCTAACCTTGAATATACGGTGTGTACATATGGAGACTCTTTTTGTTAGACTTTAGCATATATTATAAAGTGTAAGTTTAAATTATTAGCTAAATTTGGTGCAGATGATCATGTAAAATCCAAGACTGAAATTCTAGCTGTTTCAATTAGAATTAAGTATTTATGTTAGATCATGCTCCCAGCCCCAAAAGATTTTGGGGTGGCTAACATGAATAGATACATGCTATTGGAGAAGAAGATAAGAAAGATAAAAAGATAAGGTAAGATAAAAAGATAAAAACAATAAAATAAAGATAAAGAAAAAATGATAAGATAAAAAGGATAAAAAAATATATGTATAAAATAAAAAGGATAAAAGGATAAAGAACATAAGAAAGATAAAGAGGATGGAAAAATAAAGGGAAAAATAATTAAAATACCCCAAACTTTCAAGGGGTGTGAGGTAAGCACCCCAAACTTGCATATGTAATTTAAATACCCCAAACTTTATATAAAAAGTTACACCATGCTCATGTATTATTTCTTTCAAAAAATGCTACTTTTTGGTGTTAATTTCATAATTACAAATATTTTACCATTCATGAAGATACAATTAACATTCTAAACTTACATTATGAAATAAATAGTATTAACCCTTCCACTCCATATAATTGCAACATTTTCAATTTGCTATTTTAAATTATGCAATTAACACCATAAATTTATATTTTTGAAATAAATAATACATGATCATGGTGTTAAAATAACTTTTTGTAAAAAGTTCGGGGTATTAAATCACTTATGAAAGTTTGGGGTGTTTATCTCACACCCCTTTAAAGTTTGGGGTATTTTAATTATTTTTCCCAAAAATAAAAGGATAAATAAGATGAAAAAAGATCAATCCTCCACACCGATATCCTCCCTCCACTTTGCTCTCTCCAAAGCGATACTCTCATTCAACTCAAGAAGAAGCATATCACTTGTGACTCATCTAATCCAGGTCTATTTGGGACTCCTCTAATACAAGTGCATCACTTGGTCTTCTACGCACATATCGCTACTCCCACCTTTTTTCTGATTGTCATTGATGGTCCAACAAATTAATATATTTATTAGAACAATTGAGGTAACTGGAGTGATGCTAAACTATGATCATTTGATTGCTGTAAATGAGTTTTTATTTATTTCCTTGAGGAAACTGAACTTATTTATGAGGTTATGTTATATACTATCTTGTCATTAACTATGATATGACTTGAATTATGGTTTCAAAAGACCAGTACTTTAAAAGTTGTGGGAGGTTGTAGCAATTTGAATTCCTTGTTTTGCCACTGAAGTCATAATGTTGTTCGCTTACATGTGATGATGTGAAATAAGATGTCTATTGTATTTATTTATCAAGATCAAAATTGCATGTTAGTTTTTATCTTATCCCTGTTGTGTATTTCCTTATATCTTGTTGATTGGAACTTACACTTTTATATTTAACCTAGGGCATTAACAGGGTGAGGGTGGAACAAATGGAGGATCGATTGAAAGAAGATGTCCTGCTAGAGGCTGCAAGGTTGATGGTCATCTCTATTTCTTATCTAGCTTATTCTTTTTGTTTTCCACAACTTCTCATTTACAAAAGCTATAATTGACAGATATGGAAATAAGATCCTTGTGACTGATGAACTCCCTGATGGCCAAATGGTTGATCAATG